TCCCTTTCTCCCTCCCTTCCTCCCCCCACCCCATCAGGAGAGAGGGTTCCCCTGGCCTCAATTTTCTGTTAAAAAGAAAAAAAGACCTGATCTTTAAAATCCTCTGTAAACAGTGGAGAGTTCCGGGCTCTAATCCTAGTTTTCCTTTTTCATGTGTCACTGCCTTAACTATGTGGGACACAAAACCTCACTGAGCTCCGAAAGCTTAGTTCCACTTATTGTGAATGGTTGGGAGCTCTTCTAGGATAAGAGCACCTACTCACCACATTCTTCCCAGAGTCCTGCAGACATTCACTGGGCTTCTTGGAGATTTCCACATCCTCAGCTCCTCCTGGCCCTGGGGAGTCATGAGGAATAGGGTTTTGCAGGGTTTTCCCAAAATTCTCTCTGTTGATCTTAGCTTGTGGAAATGATCTACACCTGCTATAGATTGCTACTGTTCCCATCTCTCTAACTTCAATACTTCCTGTGTATATATAAGAACCAGAGCCGCCGCCTTCTCACGGACAGTAGGTAAGGCAAAGACAGTTATGAAATGAAACACTGTGGTCCTGGCTGATTGGAAATTGAATAAAAAGGTCAGAGATCTGTCGGGGAAGTCTTGAGGTAGCATCTTTTTCATTTGCATGTACATGAAGGCCTTTTATATGACGTACTCTGAAAGTAGTTTCCAAGTAGTTGCCCTTTGCAAAGACCATTTCATGGGTGAGGAAGAGAAATGAAAGGAGAATCAGTGAAGCCATTCACACTGTGTGTTGGGGATCATGTTTCTAACACATGGAATTTGGGGCACACTCAAACCATAGCGGATGTGAAGACATCAGGGGAGAGGGGTTGAGGGCAGGGTAAGGGTCAGCCAGTGTTGGTGCTGAGGGAAGAGGTAGGTAAGGAAGCCAGAAACAGGAAAATAATCCTTCAAGGGAGGGCAATCAAATGGCTAGCTACTCCTTTTAAAAGTCATGTGGGTTTTGGCTTGCATTTCAGGTGTTGCCTGGTCAGATGAAAATCTCCTCGGAAGGCTTTAGTAAGTTTAAGAAAGAAGACAGTGAGATTCCTAGTAGCCCTGAAAGACAAACAGGTATATTGGGAGTTAACAAAACCCTGGACCTTTAAATTTTATATTAAAGCACTGATAAAACCTTGCTGGTTTCAGAGGTTCCTGGAAATCTGTGGTTCTGAGAGTAGTAAGTGGGGCTGGGGTGTAGCTCAGTGATAGGGTCCTTTCCTGGCATGTGTGAGGCCCTGGGGTCAACCCCAGCACCACAAAAACAGTAAGTGTATGAAGGAATAGCTGTTAATAGCATTGAGTCATTTTCCCCATCTAATAAAGTCTCTCTTTGGGGTTAGCTAGAAATGACAGAGGACAACAAATGCTGGGAGTGACAGGAGGTCCTGTCTACCTACAAAGCCAATTTCTTTGGGGGTTCCTTTTTCTAAGTGCCCCTGGATGTCTTATTTGAGGTTTGAGGTAGAACCTGACTACCAGCTTTTACCAAAAGATGGCGAGGAACCGGAGGAACATGTCCTGGTAGAGCAATGGAGAATGTGTCAGTGTGGTGTGTGTGGCTAATGATACTATAAATACTCTTTTCTTGCTGTGTGTAGAGCAGGCAGAAAAATCCACTGAACTGGCGGAGTCCGTTGGCGCTGGAGAGGACCGCTGTGTGATTACTCTCCTCTCAGACGCTCAGCCCGCGCCCGCTGTGAGTAGAGTGAGCTGGGGAGGAGGCGAAGTAGGCGCCTTCCATCGTGGCTTGTAGACTCTTTGCTCCTAGCCCAGAATCTGTCGATAATTTGACCATCTCCTCATTTAGATTGCTTTTCTCTGCTGAGTTTTTCTCCCCTTTATTCTACTTGGCTTTCCATGGAATGCCTGCCTTGGTTGGCATCTGCCTTCTCATTTGCTCATTTGAGATCTGGAGACTGATGTCTGGACAGGAGTCTGATATTTGGCATCAGATGTGCTTTCACTTACTCCCTGTGGGGACTCGGGGTCGGGGGGCATCACATCGTAACAGAGGTAACAGCTAGGTCACAGAAGGACCTTCATAAGGCTTAAAAAAGGGGACTAAGAGATAGATAAGAGTGAGAATTCTGGTGTGATATTCACAGTAGGATGACTATAGATAACTCTACATCTCAGCTAGAAAAAGAGTTTTTGAATGCTTCACTCTAAAGAAATGATAAATGTTGAAACAGGTGTGTTTCACCAGATTTAAATATTTCATAATATATACATGGACAGTATTAATATGCACACTTTTTATGTGTCAGTTAAATTTTAAAAAGTATACAAACCTACTTGATACATATATATGTATAAAAATATAGCTATGTCTATATCTATGTATAGATACTACAATGCTTTTTTCTTGCAGCAAAAAGATACAGCTGATGGTTCATCTGAAAAATTGAAAGTGGATGATATGCAACAAGGTCTGCTATGTTTTGTCTGTTGTAAAGAAGACCCAAATAATGTGTTAAAATATTTATGCAACATGCTAAATGCTTTTTGTTTTTAAATTTGGTCATTAGAAGTTACTCCAAAACATGCACATTCTTCAGATATACAAGAACCATCAGTTGAAATTCAGACTCCCAAATCAGATGACAAATTTAGGTAAGTGCTTTTTTCTTTTAAAAATTGTCCATATTTATGGACTATAGAGTGATGTACCCATTGTGAAATGATCTCTTCGTGGAATTTAGTGCATCTGTCTTAAACATTTTTCAATTCTGTGTGGCAAGAACGCCAGAATCCCTTCTCCTAGTTTTAAAATAGACAGCAACATGGATAACTGTCCCCACCCTGATGTGCTACAGAACATGGGAATTTATTTCCCATGAGTAACCATACACTGGGACCCATTGCCCAAACTCTCCATTGGTTACTCCTCCTGACTAGATAGCCCCAACCTCTGGTAACTGTGATTCTACTCTTCCTTTCTGAGTCAGCTTTTGAAGTTTCCACATATAAGTCAGATCACACAGTATCTTTCTCCACCTGTTTTATTTCACTTAGCAGCATGTCTTCCAGTTCATATTGTTGGAAATGATAGGATTTCGTCTTTTTGGGGACAAATAGTATCCTACTGTGTATCTATACAACACTGACTTTGTTCATGCCTTGATGGAGGTTCAGGCTGTTTCCGTGCCTTGGTTATTATGAAACTGATAATCACACAGATCATTGCTAGTGGGAGTGCTCCACGTCTGTGCTCCGGATTCTCCCCCTTTGCTGCACCTGGCCTCGCCTTCACCAAGGGAGAGAGCATCGCGTGGAGTTTTCTGCAGAATGATTTGGGTGGTGATGGCATGTTCTTGTGACTCCTGGGCTCTACATTTAGACTCCCAGCAATGTATTTTTCTGCTGCAAACCACTGCATTTGAGATTGAAGAACACAAGGTCAATATGCAAAATCATTTTTCTTTCTACATGTTAATCAAAAATTGAAATAAAAACCAATGTCACTTATAATAGTGTTAAAATATGATTATTTAGGCATTTGACATATATTTCTGAGCATCCCCAAAGCATATACACTGAAAACTATAGGACATTACTGAGAGAAAGTAAGGAGATCGAAAAAAAAAAGAGAAGGAAGATAAAAAAAAAACAAATTCTGCGCTCATGGGATGATGGAAGACTCAATATGATGTCAGTTCTTCTCAAAATTAATCTAAGAATTTAATAAAATTCTTAGTTCAAATCCCAGTAGGTTTTTTTTAATATAAAAGAAATTGGCAAGTTTTCTGAATTTCACAGAAATTTAAAAGACAAAGAATACTTAAAACATCACAAAGAAGGACTTACATACTACCTGCTTTGGAGATTTACTATAAAGCTACATTAATCAAGAATGTGGTATTGGTGGGAAGATAAAAACATACTAAAGTCCAGAAAAAGCCCTGTACATAGTGGACAAATTTGCAAAGATAATTCAGTAGAGAAAGACTGGTGTTTCAATAAATGGTGCTAGAATAATAGAAGATCTTGATAAAAGAAAAAAATGATCTTGTAGCCTCACTTTTCACCAAATAGAAAATTGAAAATGAATCATAGATGTATATGTAAAATGTATTTGACGAAAACATGAGAAAAACTTTGCATTAAGCAAAGATTTCTTAGGTATAACACAATAGAGTCCACAAAAGAACAAATTGATGAATTGGATTTCATCAAAGTAAAAGAATCTATATTCTTCGTAAACTATTGTTAAGTGAAAGAACTAGCCACAACCTTACTGAAAATTTTTTGAAGAACTTGTATGCAAAATGTATCAAGAACTCTCAGAATTCGGTGGTAACCATATAACCCAATAAAAAATATTGACAAAAGATTTGAACAGCTACTTCACCAAGAAAAATACGGGTAACAGATGACACCAGTAGTTATTAGGGAAATATAAATGAAAACTAAGGAGATGCACTACACATCTTTTAGAGTAGCAAAATTAGACTTTACCATCTATTTGTAAGAATGTGGAGCATGTGAAACTTATATCCTGCTGGTAATTTCTTAAAATATTAAGTACATACCCACCCTATGATCTGGCTATTCCTATTCTAGATATTTTCCCAAGAGATTAGTCAGCATTATGTCCCCACAAAGGAGTGCTAATGAATGTTTACAGCACCTTTGTTTGTAATAGCTCCAAACCAGAAACAGCTCTTACCTTGTGCAGACTGAGTAGCTCTTGTCCAAAATGTCTGACATCAGACTGTCTTAGAATTTGGATTGTTTCCAGATCTTGGAACAGTTGGATATACATGATGAGATGTCTTGGGGATGGGACTAAGTCTAAACACAAAACTCATTTTTGTTTCCTCTCTCCCTTACACACATAGCCTACAGGTGATATTTTTAAAGTACTATTTTGAGTGGCTGCGTTTTGACCATCTCACCGCATGAGGTCAGGCGTGGGTGGTGTGATGCTCAAGAAGCTTTAAATTTGAGAGCATTTGGGGTTTCCAGGTGAGGGCTACTCAACCGTATATGGGCATCTTGGTTTCAGTTCCTTTGGATACGTGCCCAGGAGAGGGAGTCCTGGATCCTGTGATAGTTCTGTTTGTTTTCCATAACAGTGGCTCCTTTTATTCCCACCAGCAGCATGCAAGGGGCTCCAGTTGCTCCACATCCTCTGCAGTACTCATCTTTAGAAAAAAAATAGTATGTGTGTGTGTATATAAATACATATATAATGAAAAAGATATATTTATGTGTATATATATGTAAGAGGTTAATATTAAAAATATATAACTAACAACTCAATGGCAGAAAACCAAACGACTCAGTTAAAAACTAGGGAAAGGACCTGAGTTGACATTTTTTTGAAGAAGACTCACAAAAGGCCGGAAAGTGTACTCAAAGATGCTCACCCTCACTGATCACCAGTGGAAGCACCCAGGTGGTTCTTGGGTAGGACCAGGCTTGAAGATGTCATCCTTCAACCTTGCTGCCAGTGGCCTGGCACTTGCAAGCCCCACCTTGCTTCCCTCTTCTTTGTATGTCTGATAAACAAAGCGTCTGACCAAATTGTATTTGATTTTAAATAAATAGTCATCATCTGCCCAACAAGCTAAGGAAATAGATTGTGGGAGAAGTTAGTCTGCAGAATGGGGTGTTCTGTGAACTTGATTCATGATCAGGCAGAAGGTTCATAAGGAAGAAAAAGTTAGAGCCATGAACTGAGATGAAAAGGAGGGTAGTGGATGTGCTGGGTCCCTTCATGTGACACATTTTATTTTAGGGAAGATTCTGCTTTTGAGGATGATACAAAGCAAGAAAGAGAGGTACCGGGCAGAAAGAAGAAAAGGACGTCGGTAATAATTTTTGTTATTTTAAGGTGATGTTTCCCCAATTTCAGTTACCTGCATACTGTCTTCAAAATATGCCATAGCTCTACCATTTCTGTAAATTTTTCTTATTTTAGGAAAAATTACTTCTATTTCAAGCGGAAAATCAGCATTATTCCTAACAAATAGTAACAAATCCACCAAATGAATAACAATTGAAAGTAACGTTAACGCACCAAACTACACTTTTCTAGGATGTACTTTCTCTTTTAACATCCACATTGTGCAGCAGACTTTTTAAAAACTGTTCGCTCAGAAAAGGAAAATGTGCCATAGCCAGGCTCATCCACTGGTTGGACAGATAATAAGCTCAGCGGAGAAGAAACCTTTCATGTTAAATCCTGTTTTTGGGCCAATAGGTAATGGAAAGGTTAAGATACACTCCTCCCGTCAGCCCTTTCCCACTGCAGCAAGCTCTCACTCACTCTGGATGGCCCACTGTGTCTAGATGAGAGATGTCAGTCCTCTCCTTTATTGTGTTCCAAAGTGGTGAGGGGGAGCATTTACATTCACATGGTAACCAGCACTTATGTTCACAAAGAGATTTATCAGAAGAGCAGGCTTGGGGCTCCCGTTCTTAGAACTCCTTTTTGATGAAGTTAGGTTTTGAATCTAAGCCTGTTCTTGCTTTGTTGTAAGAAAAATATTAGTAAGCAGAAGAGAAGCACCTGAGACTTACCCTGACTATATCTGGTCTGTTAAGTAACTGTAAATGGTGTTTCACTGGTGCAGCGACATGGTTTTGTGTTTGTGTAAACCGAGTGGCACGGTCCAGTGTGTCACTGCTGATGGCCTTTCCTGTGGACAGCACAGTGCTCTACCTGTGTAGCCAGTGTATTTAAAAAATCTCTAATGATCATTCCATGACAAGTTTTTCTAAAAGTGAGATCATGAGCTTCACACACAGGGGATGAGCCCTTTTCTTGCTTTCTTCTAGCAATAGTTCTGATACTGTGCTCCTTGGTGCTCAAATTGGTCTTCAGAAAATACTGAAAGTTGGGTCCCTTCTGAGATTCTGACTTTATTCCTACACTTTGGAATTTTTAAAATAAAGCCGCCTTCTGGTGATTCTATTGTGTAGCCATTTATAAGGACCATTGTTGTAAGTACTGTATTTTTGTAATAACTTTAAATACCTTTTGAGATAAAGCCAAAGAAACTGGAAGGCCTTGCTGCATGGTTTTTAAATTGGATGCATTAAATGAAGTGATGCCTGTTCTTTATGATACTGGGCTGAGCCGGGCATGGTGGTGCACACTTGTAATCCCAGCACTCGGGAGGCTGAGGCAGGAGGATCACTGTGAGTTCGAGGCCAGCCTGGGCTACAAAGTGAGTTCAAGACCAGCCTGAACTGCATGGTGAGACCCTGCCTCAAAGAAAGACAACCCCCCCTCAAAAAAGACACTGGGCTGAAGAATTCTGGAGCAATTGTGGGGGCTCCCCAACTATTTCAGGGTTTTTCCTTAAGTAAAGAGTACAATGCAAGTAAGTATGGCTCACAAAGTTCCTTTAAAAGGTCACCTTCTGTAATCAGTATAAATGGATGAATGGTAGTGAGAGTGTGGTACTTACACACGCTAATAACTGAATGCTAGTCAGCCTTACAAAAGGAGGAAATTCTGTCCCTGCTAACTCCATGGGTGATGATAGGGGATGTTATGTTAAGTGAAATAAGCCAGGCACAGACAAATCCTGCATGACCTCACTCATACGGAATTTTAAAAAGTTGAACTTGAAGAGACAGTGTTTACCAGATGTTTTGGGTTAGGTATTAGGGTGATGTTGATTAAAGGTAACAAAATTTATTTAGACAGGAGGAATGGGTTTGGAAGTTCTATTGTACGTTGCAGGAGTGCACTTAGTAACTTTATAAATAATACTTGAGGGTAGGTTTTAGGTGTTTTCCTCACAAATAAGTGAGTTAATATGTATGTTAGATTGATTTAACTATTCCAAATGTTTATACGTATCAGTACATCATGTTATACATCATAAATGTGTACAGTTTTTGTCATTTAAAAATGATTACTACAAAATGCTAAATGGCAGCTAAGCATTTTAAAAGAGGAGTGAACAGGGTCGCTTAAAAGATAACAAATCCTTGCCCACCTTACAATTGTGCAGCTATATCACCAGCAAGGGGAGGCTTGGTTCAGGGTTAACCTAGTGATCTCAGGAGCTGACTTGGCATCTCAGATGAGGGCAAATGCTCTGGCTGACGTGTTTCCCGTTTGAGAAGTCTCAGTGGTACTTTCACAACTTAATATGCTTGGGTGCATCAGAATGCCCCTGGACTTGAGTGAGAATTGTTACAGCCAAAGGGCAGAGCCCCTGAGAGGGCCACGTGTGGGGACCAAGTCCCTGGCAACATCTAACAGACAGAACTCAGGGTGTGCTTTTCTGTTCAAATAAGAAAAGAACCCTCTATATTGTGCTTAAACATTGTTCACCACACCATTTGTAAAAAATTAACACAAAACTGAAAAAGATTAAAATACATAAATATAAAAATACAGTTGAGTTGCTCACCAGAACAGATTAAGCTTGTAGTACATTTCTAACATTTTTTTTTTTTTTTGGTTTTTCTCCAGTACTGGGAACCGAACTCACGACCTTGCGCTTGCCAGGCAGGCGCTTTTGCCACTGAGCTAAATCCCCAGCCCCCATTTCTAACATTTTAAAGGCTAAGCTTAATTTCAAGCTTGAAATGGAAATTACCCTGTTTGGTGTTAGTACTTCTGAGTGTATCTTTGCAAAAAACATTTTTATCCTGTGTCATTTGGGTTTGTGCTTTGAACTTGTATCATTGGCACAATATTCAGGTACTTCTTAGCTGTTATGTAGCCATTGTTCAGTTGCAAATAGGGCTGTAGAAACAGATTTGTCATCCTTGGCAACAGCAAGTTGTTTGGGAATTGATTCAAGGAATAATCTTTGTCCTCCCTCTTTCTTCTGTGCATTTTTATTATGGAAGACAGTCCAGTCTTCTAGGAGTTTCTTCCCTCATGTCCAATAGTTCCTGTGTTTATACAGTACATGTACTGATACGTTTAGTTGTACATACATTAGCAGCAGCACCCCTTTAAAAGTTCTTGTCAACTCTGTAAAAGTTTAATTACAGGAAGCATCTCTTTTCTGAGAGGGAGCATGATTCAAGTTCCAGTACAAGTGAACAACCCTGGACCAGTGACCAAAAAAGGAAATCCTTAAAACCATACTCCGGCAAGAGAAAGCCGAGAGTGAGAAGTAGTATGAAAAGTGAGTGTGGTGCTTGTTATCTTTTGGGTCACTTTTCACTTAACAGGTTTATTTTTAAGCATGGGAGAGGGTACCAAAGAAATATATGATCTCATGCCCTCCTTTCGTGTTATAATTACACTGGAAAGATCAGGTGCATGCACCTGAAACAGGATGTTATGGGATTAGCTAATAATTGCTGAATGTGAGTTATAGGTAAATGGAGTAGGAGTTCAGATAAGAAGAATCGGGCACGAGTTGGAATTATCTTCAAGGAAGAGGTAGATAGGATTTGAGCTAGTCTTTGGGAAAAGAATAAATTTGAAGAGTTTAGGAGAAGGGAAACACTCTTAGGTTAAACTACTAACATAAAACAGGGACGTGGAGGTGATCTTCAAGGACAAGATTTGGAATAGAGAATTCATGCTGAGTGGTGAGGAACAAAGTCAAGTAATTGGAAAGGGATCTTGAAGGTGGACACTTGAGCAAGACACCGGAGTGGGCATTGCTTTTAGTGGTGCTGTGTGTCACTAGGAGAGGGAGAAATGGAATTTTATGTAATTAGTAAGGTATATTAATTGCATAAATAAATGGATCTCACTGTGATGTGTCCAAAACATGCATATATCATGCTTTGAGCATGTCTAGAAATGAATTTCTGCGTGTCTCATAATTAAATAATCCATTATGTATTTTCTCTCATTTTTCAGTCTTGCCATCTTTCCCTCATAGCAGTGGCAGTGAACGTGAGAAAGACCACGTAAGTACATTTTGTTGGGCTGCTGTGGATCTTTATGGGTTAAACTGCATTTCTCAAAAAACATCTTCCTGAGAACCAGAGTTTATTGTATGTCCATCACTGCCAAGAGAAACTACAGGGACTGCTAAACATCTGATATGAGCCTTAGGTAAGGATTTGGGATCTTTTACCATTATGCACAAATGTTGCTGAAGGATCTTTATTGTGAATGATGGTAAAAATCTTAGCTATTCTGATTTTGGACAGAGATATGCTCTTTTGAATTTATATTTTAAGGTGAACTTACTGGTTTAATTCTCCCTTTAGTTTTCTATTAGTTTTTTTTTTTTTTTAAAACTCTTTTAAAGAGAAAAAATAAAATTTCAAAACAAGATGGGAGGATAAACAATGGTTAATACATTACATATTGTTATCTTTAAGTTAGCTACTCAGAGTACAAGATACTGGCATTGATTGATTGATTGATTGATTGACTGATTGTACCAGGAATCAAATTCAGGACCTTGTCTTGCTAGGTGGGCACTTGTGCCACTGAGCTATATCCCTGGCCCAAGATATCGGCATTTAATTATCCAAATATTAGCACAAAACTTTATTTTCAATGAACTAAGAGAAATTTGTAGTATAACTATCTTATCTCTCTCTCTCCCTCTCCCCCCTTCTCTCTCTATATATAATTTGCTTTTCCTTTTCTTCTTTTCTCCATTGTCCCATTACAGTTTCCCTTTTTTTTTTGAAGTTTCTTCCCATTCTACAATATCTATTGTACATTTTAGATCTTATTTACTCTTTCAGGTTCTCACACTAGAGAGACAATATAATGTTTACACACATGTGTTTGGTTTATTTCACTTATGAGTATGGTCTCGAGTTGCAGCCATTTACTTATATAAGTTTCCAGTTTATCCTTCTTTATGGCTGAGTAGTACTACATTATATAAAAAGACCACATCTTTTTTTATCCATTCCTTGGTTGATGGGCATTTTGGTTGTTTCCAAGATCTAGCTATTATGAATTGTGCTGCTGTAACCATATAGCAGCACCTATTATCTCTGTGGTATAATATTTTCAATTCGTCTGGGACGATACTCAGAAGGGGAATAGCTGGGTCAAATGGGACCTCCAATCCAATTTTTTTGAGGAATCTCCACATTAATTTCCACAGTGGTTGCATCAGTCTACACTTCTACCAACAGTGGAAAACTGTTCCTTTTTCCCCACAGCCCCTCTGGCATTTGTTACTGGTTGATTTCTTGATGATGGCCATTCTTTCTAGGCTAGATGGAATCTCAGTGTTGTTTTAATTTGCATCTCTTCAATGATCAGTGATAGTGAATATTTTCTCATATATTTGTTTGCTGTTTGTATTTCTTTATCGGAGAAATGTGTATTCATCTCAGATGCCCATTTTTGCACTGGGTCTTTAAATTTTGGAGGTTTGATTTTTTTTTTTTTAGTTCTTTATATGTTCTCTATAGTGATCCTTCGTCTGAAGAACAGCTGATATTTTTTCACACACTGTATTGTGTATTCACCCTGTTGGTGGTTTATCTTGCTGTGCAAAAGCTTTTTAATAAGATGAGATCTCAGTTGTTGATTCTTTGTGATAGTTCTGTGAGATCAGGGTTTTATTCATAAAGTCTTTGCCTATACCAATTGATGAAGACCAGTATGAAGCAGCCCCAAGCAGGATTTAAATTAACCAGTTGGCTTTTTATGTTTACTTGTGAATCTGTCCAAAGCCTAGGCCGTTTGTCTGGAAGTGGGCAATGGACTCTTAGTAAGTGAACCTCTGTGAGTCACTAATCGCTACTAAAACCTGTAATGGTGGATAAAGCCAGAAAGCCTCAAAGGATAAGACAAGATCACAGCCAAGAACACCTGGATCTGATATCAACTAGATAAAGACTATAGACTCAGGCATCTCACTCCTGGGTAGATTAACTTAATCCTTATTAAGGATTAATTTAATGCCTTACTTGGAGAAGTCCTTGAGTGATTCTGCCCTTCTTGAGTACTCTCCTCCCTTCTGATAATCAAATAAATATGGGCCACCCAGAGAAGGTCTTGGTCTTAGCCCTAAGAGAATCTCAGATTCTGTGAGAGGGCTCTGATCCTCCTGGAGCCTTGAAATCATTCCACTTGCCTCTTTTTATTTCGCTTTCACTGTATACTCATTTAGGAGATTGTGGCTTATCAGCCTGCAATAACTAAGAGATGTTATTAACCCAGTAACCAATGTCTTTAAGAGTTTTACCTATTCTGTCTTCCAGCAGATTTCATGCTTTTGTTTTAATGTTTAGATCTTTGATACATTTCCAATTTAGTGAATGGTGAAAGATATGAGTCCAATATTAATCTTTGGCATGTGCAGAGCCAGTTTTTCCAGCACCATTTATTAAAGAGGCTATCTTACTTCCAGTGAATGTTTGGCTCCTTTGTCAAAGGTAAGGTGGCTGAGTGTGTGTGGAGTTGTTTTTGCATCTTCTAATCTGTTCCATTGATCTTTGGGTCTGTTTTTTTTTTGCCAGTACCATGCTGTTTTTATCACAGTAAATTTATAGTGTAATTTCAAGTCTGGGATTTTGATGCCCTCTGTGTTGTCTTTGTTGCTCAGAATTGCCTTTGCTATTCTAGGTCTCTTCTGGTTTCAAATAAATTTTAGGATTGTTTTGTCTAGTTCTGTGAGGTATGCTATTGGAATTTTCATCAGAATTGCATTAAATCTTTATAACGGTTTTGAAAGTATGGGCATTTTCACTATATTAGCTCTTCCTACTCAAGAGCAAGTGGTATCTTTCCATTTTCTGATACCCGCTTCAATCTCCTTTTTTCAGAGTACTCTAGTTTTCAATGTAAAGGTCTTTTACATCCTTCATTAGATTGATTCCTAAGTGTTTCATTTTTTGGATGCTATTTTGAAAGGTATTGTTTCCCTAATTTTTCTCTCAGTAAGTTTGTTGTTTGTGTACAGAAAGGCTATTGATTTTGAGTGTTGATTTTATATCCAGTTATGCTACTGAATTTGCTTATTAAATCTAGCAGTTTTTTAGTGGAGTTTTGGGGTTCTTTTATGTACAGTATCATGTCATCTGCAAATAATGGTAATTTAACTTCTTTCTTTCCTATCGTTATTCCTTTTATTTCTTTCTCTTGTCTAATTACTCTGGCTAAAGTTTCCAGGACTATATTGGAAAAGAGTGGAGACAGTGGATATCCTTGTCTTCTTCTTGATTTTAGAGAGAAAGCTTTCAGTTTTTGTCCATTTAGTATGATGTTGGCTGTTGGTTTGTCATAGATGGCTTTTATCAGGTTAAGATAAAGACCATTTATTCCATTTTCTGTAGGGTTTTTATCATGAATGGGTGCCGGACTTTGTCAAAAGTTTTTTCTGCATCTTTTGAGATGCTCATATGATTTTTGGCCTTGGCTCTGTTGATATGGTGTATTATATTTATTGATTTACATTTGTTGAACCATCCATGCATGCCTGGAATGAATCCCATGTGGTCATGGTGTATAATCTTCTTGCTGATTTGCTGCATTCTGTTTGCCAGTATCTTACTGAGGAGTTTTGCATCTATGTTCGTTGGGGAAGTTGGCTTGTAAGTCTCTTTCTTAGTTTGGTCCTTCTCTGGTTTTGGTATCAGGGTAATGCTTGCTTCCAGTAAGGAATTTTAGAGTGCTGCTTCCCTTTCAATTTCATTAAAGAGTTTGAAAAATAGTGGTGTTGTTAGGTCTTCTCTAAATTTCTTGTAGAATTCAGCAGTGAATCTGTCAGGGTCTAGGCTTTTCTTTGTTGGTAGGTTTTTAATTGTATCTTTGATTTCATTGATTGATGCTGGTTTATTTAAGATTTTTATATCTTCTTGATTCAGCTTGGTAATTCATATGTATCTAGGAATCTGTCCATTTTTTCTACATTTTCTGTCATATTAGAATATAAGTTTTCAAAGTAAATATAGATGATCTTCTGGATTTCTGCAGGGTTCATTGTGATTTCACCCTTTTCTTTCCTAATTGCATGGATTTGAGTCTTTTCTTTCCTTTTTTTGATAAAGTTGGATAAGGGTTTGTCCATTTTATTTAATATTTCAAAGAACCAACTCTTCAATTCATCTTTGTATTTTTTTAGTCTCCAGTGTATTAATTTCTACTCTGATTTTTATAATTTCCTTCCTTGTACAAGCTTTTAGATTAGCATGTTCTTTTTCTAGAAGTTTGAAGTTCACCATCAAGTTGTTTATTTATGCTTGCTCTATTTTCTTGATATGGGTATTCAGTGCTATAAATTTCCCTCTTAGGACTACTTTCATTGTGTCCCATAACTTCCAGTATTGTTGTCATCATTTACTTATAGAAACTGTCTAATTTCTTCTTTAATTTCATCTGTGACCCATTGTTTGTTCAGGAAGGTGCTATTTAATTTCGATATGTTTATGAAGTTCTTAAGGTTTCTTTTGCCACTGATTTCCAGTTTCACTCACTGTGGTCTAGTAATATACATGGATTAATTTCAGTTCCCTTGCATTTACTTAAGCATGTTCTGTGAGCTAGTGTGTGGTCTAATTTGGAGAATGTCCTATGTACAGTTGAGAAGAAAGTGTATTCTGATTTTGTGGGGTAGAACACTCTGTAGACACTTGTTGAAAAGTTTGGTTCAGTTCTAATATTTCATTATTGATTGTCCGTCTAGTTGATCTGTCTTTTTGTGACAGTGGGGTATTGAGATCCCCCAGTTCAATTGTAGTAGTGCTTATGTGATTTTTCATTCCCATTAATATTTGTTTTATATAGTTGGTTGCACTGGTATTTGTTGCATATATATATTTGATTGTAATGTTTTCCTCTTGGATTGTTCCCTTTACAAGGATGTAGTGAGCTTTATCTCTCTTAATCAGTCTTGGCTTGAAATTCACTTTGTCTGCAAATAGAGTAACTATCCATTCTTTTTTCTGGGTTCCTGTTACATGGAGTATTTTCTTCCATCCTTTGACTTTCAGTCTATGAATTTCTTTTTGAATTAAATGTGTTTCTTGTAGGCTGCATATTGTTGGATCTTGCTTCTTGATCCATTCTGCCAGTCTGTGTTTTGACTGGTGAATTGAAACCATTAACTTTGATGGTTATAACGGACATGTATTAACTTATCCTTGTCATGTTATTTTCCTGTTGTTGGCTCCCCTTCTTTTTTTACCCTCCTTCTGATTGTTTTCCTTGCCTCATGGATTCCTTCTGTTGGGGCTCATGGTGTTGTAATCCTTGTTATCTCTTTCTAGAATGTCCTTCAAAACATTTTTGAGCACTGCTTTGGTGGTCATAAGTTTCCTCAGATGTTCTTTGTCATGGAAGTATATTATTTCTCCATCAGTTCTGAAAGATAGTTTTGTGGGGTACATCAATCTGAGTTGAAGGTTATTTTCCTTTAAAATTTGAAATACTTCACTCAAAGTCTCCTTGACTTGAGGGTTTGTGATGAGCTGTGATTCTGATGGGCTTTCCTTTATAGGTGATTTGTTTCTTTTCCCTAACAGCTTTTACAATTCTATTCTTGTGTTGAAGTTCTGTAATCTTGACTATGATATGCCTCGCTGTAGACTTTTTTGATCATGGCCAATTGGAGTTCTATATGCCTTACTTATTGTATGTCAAATTCTTTTTCTCTACCCAGGGAAGTTTTCTGCAATGATGTCTGTGAATAGTTTTTTTTTTTTTTTAAATATCGTTTGTGCTATTTCCTGCTTTTTCATTGATTCTAACCAATTTTAAGTTATTCTTTGCCTCATATAGCAGCTGCTATATTGATTTCTAATTGTCCCTTGCTATTTTTACAAAATCTTTCTTTTCATGATCGCTAACTGAAAGCATGTCTTCTATGTCTGAGATCCTGTCCTCACAATGGCTTAATCTGCTGTGGATACTTTCAATGGAATTTTATTCTCCTGATATCTGCTTGAATCTGTCTTATGGATTCCATTTCTTTTCTATGTCGAGTGTTCATGGCTTCCATAATTTAAGTTCCTCTATTTTTTTGTCTGTATCTGCTCTAGAGTCATTAGGCATGGTTTTCATTGTGGACACCATCTCTGCAGTTATTTGAGAGATTCTGATGTGATTTTTTTCTAGAGCCTCATTCAATTGCCTTGTTGTTACCACTTCAGAGAGGCCAGGTGGGTGGCTTTTGGATTGTCCCATCTCATTGCCCTGTGTGTTTGCTTTTGGTGAACTAGATATCTGAGGTTGCATTTTGTTTAGGTGTCTTCTCATTTTGTTTTCTTTTGTTAGTTTAATTCTTGGGGTGATGCTGGTAAATTGCCTAGGGTGAGTTGCTTTATTGCTAGTATTTAGAACCCTTGTAACTGTACTAAATATTTTCTGACATATCTCCTGACATGTCTTCCATGTGTAGCTGGTTTTGGAGTTTTGAGTTTTTTATAAGATCCTACATCTTCAATTTGTTAGGGATGAGAAGATGCTGCCTGTTTGGCCTAGCACCTGGGTTTTTGGCACTGTGCCATAGTATTTTCAACTAAGATATGTAGATTGCAGAGTATATTGCCAACTATCTGTGGGTTTTGTAAGGGGCAATTGCTGTGGTTCTGAGGGTATCAGTGACACTCTGCCTGCCTGGGCAGAAGTACCTTGTGGTATAAGGCCTCCAGTTGCAGGTCCATTTGCTTTGTCAGCCAGTGGCACATTGCCCTTCATGAATCTAAATGACTTTTATGTTCTGCAAGGACGCAGGTAGCTTAAACCTAAGAGTCAGAGTAGGTACAATCATAGCTCAATATCTGTGAGTGATGGGTTCTAGGACTCCCTTTGGATAGAAGTCTGTGGATACACTGAAGTTCCTCATAAAATGGCACAGTGCTTGAATATAACCTATAGTACATATCCTCATGTAAATTGTATAAATTACTTATAATTCCTAATGTGCTGTATTATGCTAATGGTTATGCTGTGGTGTTTAAGAAGTAATGGCCCTAAATATTCTCTATTTAGTACAGTTACAATGCTTTTCTGAATATTTTTGTGCTGCAGTTTGTGGATGTTGTATCCATGGATAAGGAGGGGTATCTGCTTAACATGTTCTTGTCACCTTGAACCACAGGAGATACATGCAATACTGTCCCATCAGGTGGCTTGCACCACCTGATAGAACTGACCCGTGACACCCGATGGGACAGTCATGCATGTATCACTGGTGGTTCAGAGCTGCCTCACAATGAGACATGCAAGCTATGGCCCCACTGTGAATGTGTTAACCATTTTGTTGACTAGTTCAACTTGAAATAATGAGTTATCAGTTAGAAGTGGACCAAAGAGTAGATGGTAGTAAATACAGTTGTAGTTTTAAAGAGGCACCAAAGAAACATCACGGACTTAAATCCATAAATGCAAGCTATATAACAGATAAGAAGTCTGTGCTGATTTTTAGCAAGGATGTTTCTGACTTTGCATACAAAATATACTTCTCAGTGTTGGAGTAAAATTGAATAATTTAAAGTAAGGGTGGGCAAACTTTCTGGAAAAGGCCAGAGAGTAAATACGAGCCATACCATCTCTGTCGCAACAGACCAACTGTGCCTTTGTAGCCAGAGAGAGCTGCCATAGGTGACATGGAAACTAGTGTTGCACTGTGTTCCAATAAAACTTTCGTATGAGAACAGACACTGGGCTGCAGCTTGCCACCCTTTGATTTTTTTGTTTTTTTTTTTTGGTTTTTCTCTGGTATCGGGAACCGAACTCATGACCTTGCACTTGCCAGGCAGGCGCTTTTGCCGCTGAGCTAAATCCCCAGCCCGCCAACCTTTGATTTAGAGCAATGGTTCTCAAACTGCATTGGTCATCAGAAGGACTGGGATGCATGTTAACATACAGATTGTTGGGTCCTTCCCAAGGGTTTCTGATCACACAGGCCGTAGGTGAGACTTGTGAATTAGCATTTCTATCCAGTTCCTGTGTATTGCTGATACTTTGGACTTGGCCCACACTGTAAGAAACACTAGATCTAGAGTTCTTAATTGAAATATGACCTAAATATTCTTCCAATGCTGTGATCTATGGCCCAGTATTTATTTTTTTATGCAATAAATCTGATACTTAAATTTCTTAAAAGGATATTCAAATATCTTTGATTTTTTTGGATAACTTTAATACTTAGCGGAAGTGTTATGTTTCAGGCTAAACTTCTAACACCAGTATGGAAAGACAAGTCCAGACAAAACAATGCCACACCTTCAGAAACGTCTGAGAAAAACCTCCAGGGTAGTTCTGCCTTTTTAAGTCCTGAAGATTCTGTGCAGAAAACTGGTAAGTGATTTTCTGTTGTTTAACATAAAAAAATTGAATTTGGGGATAAGTATTTCGAAAGAAACCAATTTTTAAAATATCTATGAGAAAGTTTAAAGACATAATTTTTCTCTTTAGTGTCTCTAGTTAGGCCATACCAAAATTTGTAGAGAGATAGATAGAAAATAGTACAAAGAAGGAAATTTATAGCAATGAGTGGCTACATCAAATAAATAGAAAAATTCAAATAAACAACCCAACAATGCATCTCACGACTTGGGGATGCAAGAACAGGCCAAATACCAAAGAACTAAATGGAAAGAAATAATGATGATCCGAGAAGAGACAGGAGAAAAGTGGCCAACAAAGAACTGGCTCTCTGAAAAGATAAACAAAGTTGACAAACCTTTTATTTGACTAACCAAGAAAATTGAGAAGACCCAAAATATAAAATTAGAGGTTAAAAGGAAGACATAACTCACACAAGAGAAATCACAAAGGATCAGTAGGAATTATGAAAAACTCGATCACCAAGTTGGAAAACTTAAAAGAAATCAACAAATTTCTAGACACACATGAGCTTGTAATGTTGAACCATGAGGACATAAAAATATGAATGATCCAAGAATAAGTAATGAGATTGGCTAATAAAAATCTAACACAGAGGTCCAGGACCTGATGCCGCCACTGCTAAATTTTACCAAACTCTTTAAAAAGACCAATGCTTCTCAAACTATTACATAGGATAGAAGGAGAGGAAATGCTTCCCAATTCCTTCTATGAGGCCAACATTATCTTATTATCAAAACTTCACAAGATCACAACAAAAGAGAGCTATAAAGCTCTCTCCCTATGAAAATAGATGAAAAATTAACAATGAAATTTAGCAAATCCTGATTGTCTACCTTGCATGAGGCCCTAGATTTAATCTTTTGTACTGTCCCCAAGCAAACAACACAATACCAAACAATCTAGCAAATTGAATTCGGTAGCACATCCAAAAGATAATTCCCTATGATCATGTCACTAGTTGATATATTTTGTGCTGCCTCCTTCCTGCCATGCCCCTTTGCCATGCTGTCCTGCCTTGGAACCGGCTGATTCCAAGGCTAAAAACTACTATGAACTGAGCTAAAAGATACCTTTCCTCCTTTAACTTGTGGGTGTTGAGATTTTGTCTCAGCAATGAGAAAAGTAACTAAGATACCCAACAAATATATGGAAAGAAATACTCAACTTCATTAGCCATCAAGGAAATGCAAATCAAAACTACAATGAGATACCATCTCACCTCAATTAAGGTGGCTGTTACCTAAATGGACCCCACCCCTGTGATGGCAAAAATGTAGAGGAAAAATAATTTGAATGCACCGTTGGTGGGAATGTAAATCAGGACAGCTATTATGGAGGACAGTACAGAGATTCGTTAGAAAACTAAAAGTGGATCTATCATATAATCCAGGTTTCCACTTCTTGAGATGTATCCAAAGACAGTAAGATGAGCATACCAAAGAGGTGCCTCTGTACCCATGTTTATTGTGGCACTGTTCACAATAGCTATGAAATGGGATCAGCCTAGGTTGCCATTAATAGATAAATGGATAGAGAAAATGTGCTACGTATGCACAATGGAATAGTTTCTAGCCATACAGAAATGAAATCCTGTTTTTGCAGCAAGATGGACAGAATTGTGCAAGGCAGAAACAGCAAGGACCTCATGTTCTCTGTTAGGTGGAAGCTAAAATAGTTGACCTGAAAGTGAAATAGTGATTACTGAAGATGGGGACTGTGGAGGGTGGGTGGAGAGGCAGGACTGGGAAAGGGATTGGATTAGATCAGGGCATGCCGTATTCATGGATGGAGATATCACACTAAACTATGTACAGTTAATTTGTGTTCATATAAATTTTAATCCACTGTGTTCTGAATGGCAGCAATGAGTTACTACAAAAAGGGAATTGAGAAAATGATCCTATTTTTAATAACATAAAAAAGAATAGAATATTTAGGAATACATTTAATCAAGGAGGCAGAAGGTCTGTGTACTCAAAACTTGTAAGACATTGAGAATAAAATTGAAGACATAAGTAATAAAGAGAAAGCTATCCCATGTTCATGGATTGGAAGAATTAATATTATTAATTATTAGTTATTATTAATTAATAATAATTAGTTAATTATTAATTATTATTAATAATGTCAAAAATGTCCACATTATTCCATATCATCCACAAATTCCATGTAATCTTTATCAAAATTTCCATGACTTTTTCATCAAGAATAATCCTAAAATTTGTATGAAGCCACAGAGGACCTTTCTTGGGAGCAGCTGGAGCTGGACATGGGTTATATATGTGGAGAAAAGGTGACAGTGCCTAAAGCAGTCAAGCTTGAGAAGGACAGGTCTTGAGAAGGACATCCTGCCTGGACAATTCAGACGTTAGTTGCCTGATACAACAGTTAGTTGCCTGATACAACAATCAGGTTAGGCAACCTGATACAACTTTGCAAGTGTATAAATAAACACCCCTACTATTACTGCTCAGGTCCCCTTACCCATCCGGTAAAGAGGCCTCCACCCAACCCAGCTCTTGTCTCTTGTCTTTCTTTTCCTCATTCCTGCTGCCATTCCTCTCTGGGGTACACCAAGAGACCAGTGAGTCCCTACAGACCCTAAATAGCCAAAGCAGCCTTGAGAAAAGACAACAAAGCTGGACACATCATACGCTGATTCCAAACTATATTACAAAACAAAAAACTGGTGCGAACAGACACAGGCAATGGAACAGAACAGAGAGCTCAGTAATAAAGCGAACTAATCCTTGAGAAGGATGCCAAGAATACATAGTAGAGGAAATCGCTTCAATAAGTGGTGGTGGGAAAACTGGATATCTACATGTATAATAATGCAATTGGACTCTTGTCTTATACCGTATAAAAATTAACTCAAATGGATTAAAGACACAAATATTGGAAACTAATCTCTTAGGAAGAGAGCTGCTTTTTTGTTTTTTTGAGGCAAGGTGTCATTATGTTGCACAGGCTGGACTTGAAGTCCTCCTGCTTCATACTCCCATGTAGCTGAGTTACAGGTGGGCACCACTGGCCCTGGCTGAAGCAGCTCCTTGGTATTGGTCATGGCAATGTTTCTGGAATGTATAGAAAAACAAGCAGCAAAAATAAAGAGGATTATGTCAAACCAAAAAGCTTCTGGCAGTGTAGGAAATATCCACCAACCTATAGAATTGAGAATTTTTTGCAAACCACATATCTGATAAAATGTTCAAAATATACTGTATAATGGACTCAGACAACTCAATAGCAGAAAATCAAATAACCCAATTAAAAATGGGCAAAGTAACTGAGTAGACATTTTTCCAAAGAAGACAAACAAATGTCCAACAAGTGTATAAGAAGATTACTAGTCATCAGGGAAATGCAAATCAAACCCACAGTGACCTCTCACTTCCTGTTAGGATGGCTGTTATAAAAAAGTGGTAACCTGTGGAGAAAACATAGAGAAAAGGAAGTGCTTATACAGGGTTGGAGGGAATGTAAATGGGAACTTCTCCTGTAGAACACTGTGCGGATACTCCTCCACTCATGAAAAGTGATCCAACAATCCTTTTAGTTATACATCCAAGAGCTGAAGCGCTCTCTGTACTCCTGTGTCCACTGAAGCATTATTCTCAATAGCCAAGATACAGAAACAGGCTAAATGTCCATCAGCAGATGAATGCATGAAGAAAATAAGGCATGTTACATCACAGCATATAGTAAATTCCATATTCCGTAGCAAGAAAATTCTTTTTGTGACAGGATGGATGGATTTAGAGGACATTATCCTATGTGAAATGAACCTGATACTGAAAGATAAATGCAGTACTGTGTGACCTCCCTTATTTGTGGAATCTAGAATACTCAAACTTATAGAAGCAGAAAGTAAAATAATGAAAGGAGAGACGAAAACCACAAAGTTGAGGCAGTAGAAATCTTGTTCATGTATTTGGTGCCACATGTGCAGCTACTAATGTTGCTGATGTAGTTGAGGTAGTTGACTATTTTATCTACAGATCTGCACACCTAATACTCATGCATACCCTGAAAGATGCAAAGCTTTTGGTTTTATCTAAGACTGTGTCCCATCTTTTTATGATAAGATTTAATATAAAGAGCAATAGTGAAAGATTATTTCCCTTTTTTTGGGGGGTGCTTATTCACTTGAAACTGTTCTAATACGCAGAACTTGAAAGTCCCCACCCACTGAGTGATCTCTCTTCCTCAGAGTACGCAGAAGTTCAAGAGAAAGTGTCTCAGGTATTATATAATCGTTGCTTAATTGGTTTTCTAGAGTTATAATTGGATAACATAATGGCATACTCTTTTCTAAGGGATGCTATAGCACCACTTCCTTCTTACTTAGCAATCATATTCACATAATATATATATTCGTATATACATTCAATTTATGTTTATATTATTTGTGTTTTAGATTATCAACCAAGAGTCATTAATGGAAAGTACAGGTTTCAAACATAAGCTGGAAAACTTGGAAGACAAAGGTGAGAGAATAATAAACATTTTGCAGAAATTAAAATTAATCTGGGCCATTATCCAGGTTGCAGTGGATAAAAGTCATCTTAGAGAGTGTCTACTGCTAGAGCATGGTATCAGCCGTGTGAGCAGCTTACTTGCTCCAAATGTTCATGAGGGCCCAGGGGACAAACAAGGGCCCAGCTTGGAAGCAGAAGCTCTCATGCCGAGGAAGAGGTGGCCAAGGACCTGGCTCCAGCCACCCTCTGCAGCTGCTCAAAGGAGCTTCCTTGAGGTTGTGGTCCAGAAGCTTGTTTTATCTCCATGTAGGGAAGACGGTTCTCAATCTGTAAGAAGTATTCTAAGGGATGCGACCAAGTTATTAGAAGTTGAGAATTCATTTCCTTACAGTAACAGTAGTATGGAGTTTCTAGGCTGGTTCTCAATGTTGTATTTGTATAATAGTGCATACTATGTGAATATTCACGAATAGGTACGTAATATATTCACGTAGCACCTAGTTATTCTTTATGGTCTTTATCAACTGCATATTTTCTTTGCATTTTAAACTAAATATCAAAAAGTTTCGCCAGGCGTAGTGGTGCATGCCTGTAATGCCAGCACTCCGGGAGGCTGAGGCAGGAGGATTGTTGTGAGTTCTAGACCAGCCTGGGCTACAAAGTGAGCTCAAGGCCAGCCTGAACTGCTAGCTAGACCCTGTCTCAAAAAGA